GGCTGAGCAAGGAATCCGTGAAATCCGTAATCCGATCCAGTCCAATCCAATCCAGTAGAGTCTAACTAGTATTTTTTTCTAAATTTTATGGGAGGTTAATATAATTTACTCTTCAAAAATGTAGATGGAGCCTATTTTCAGATATAAAAAATGGAAAACTATAAAATTAACATATAATCTTGGGGAATTAAAGTTTTATATGAATTAAAATTTTGAGAGTCTAACTAGTATTTTTTTCTAAATTTTATGGGAGGTTAATATAATTTACTCTTCAAAAATGTAGATGGAGCCTATTTTCAGATATAAAAAATGGAAAACTATAAAATTAACATATAATCTTGGGGAATTAAAGTTTTATATGAATTAAAATTTTGAGAGTCTAACTAGTATTTTTTTCTAAATTTTATGGGAGGTTAATATAATTTACTCTTCAAAAATGTAGATGGAGCCTATTTTCAGATATAAAAAATGGAAAACTATAAAATTAACATATAATCTTGGGGAATTAAAGTTTTATATGAATTAAAATTTTGAGAGTCTAACTAGTATTTTTTTCTAAATTTTATGGGAGGTTAATATAATTTACTCTTCAAAAATGTAGATGGAGCCTATTTTCAGATATAAAAAATGGAAAACTATAAAATTAACATATAATCTTGGGGAATTAAAGTTTTATATGAATTAAAATTTTGAGAGTCTAACTAGTATTTTTTTCTAAATTTTATGGGAGGTTAATATAATTTACTCTTCAAAAATGTAGATGGAGCCTATTTTCAGATATAAAAAATGGAAAACTATAAAATTAACATATAATCTTGGGGAATTAAAGTTTTATATGAATTAAAAATTTTAGAGTCTAACTAGTATTTTTTTCTAAATTTTATGGGAGGTTAATATAATTTACTCTTCAAAAATGTAGATGGAGCCTATTTTCAGATATAAAAAATGGAAAACTATAAAATTAACATATAATCTTGGGGAATTAAAGTTTTATATGAATTAAAAATTTTAGAGTCTAACTAGTATTTTTTTCTAAATTTTATGGGAGGTTAATATAATTTACTCTTTAAACTATGGCCTCTAAATAGGAATAGCAACAAGGCCGAGTTTGTAGTCCCTTGTCAATGTCTCGGGATAATTTGTTATGTCTATGAGATAGTACTAATGTAAAAGATAAAATATAATATATAAAAGAACAAATTTTGACAAGACCGACCATCTCCAACGATGAACTAAACTTGGTATCAAATTTAAATTTTGATAAAAAAAATTACTTTTTAGTGCTCCAACCATTTCACCAAATTGATATCAAAATGAAAAATCAACAAAAAATCATCAAACTGAGAATAAGCTGCAGATTTTACCAAATTACTGTTCCTGACCGTTAGAAGAGCTGAACCAGTCAACCAGCCGGTTGTCCGGTCGGTTGACCAACCGGTCGATCATTAAAAGGTTCAAACAGTTCAAATGGGTTGGTTCAAACAATTCAATAAAAAATATATATATATATATTTTTACCTTACCGGTCGACCGGCCGGTCGACCACTAAAAGGTTCAAACAGTTCAAATAAGTAGGTTCAAACAATTCAAAATATATATATATATATTTTTTGCCTTACTGGTCGACTAGCCGGTCAACCGGCCGGTTGACCAACCGGTTGTCCCTGAAACAGATTTGATGAAAATCAACCATTGGAGCATTCTGTATCAGATTGAGAAAATGGTCATTTTTTTACTCAAATTTGGTAAAAAATTAGGTGAACTGTTGGAGATGCTCTAAGGTTGTTTTCAATTCTTCATTAGATGTTTTGTCAAATTTAAATTTGATAAAAAAAAAAATTAGTTTACATGGTGCTTCAACAATTTCATCAAATTCATATCAAATGAAAGGAGAGATGAAATTTTCATCAAGTCAAAAGAGCCTTGATTCTTTCATCAAATTATCTACGGTAATATTTTTACAAAATTGAAATACCTTTGACGTCATCTTCAACTTGAACTAGGGCTGAGCAAGGAATCTGTAAAATCCGTACTCTGATCCAGTCCAATCCAATCCAATAGGTTTGGATTGGTTTTTTGAATCCGTGGTTCGGTTCCGGATTGAAAAATTAAAAATCCATAAATCACGGATTGGTTCCAAATTGAACCCCACGGTTCCGGATTAGAACCGATTCGGACCATATATAAATACTCTATATTTTTATTATACACCCTCATGCATAGTATCTTATCTTATTTCATATAAAACTTTAATCCAAGCCTAAACTTACATAGTATCTTCTTTTATTACTTTTGTTTGCTAGTTTTTAGTGTTAATTTGTAATGGTCTAAATACTTATGGTGGAACTAGTTTTCTTATGGTTGTTTAAATTCTAGAACAGTTTGTCGCTATTTTAAAAAGACATATTGCTATTGTGAAGCTAATATGGTGCTATATTTATATTTTTATAAAATTAAAGTGTTATATATATTTTGTTATTTAATTATGTAAATCCGTAGTCCTAAACCGATTCAATCTGTGTTTAAATGGATTGGTTTTACGATTTAAACGGATTGGATTGGTTCCAATTTTTCAGGATACGTAGATAACGGATTGGTCCTGCTTTTACTCCAATCCGGTCCAATCCGGACCATGCTCACCCCTAACTTGAACTGCCATGTATTTATTGAAATCTTCAACCTGAGCTCTCATGGGTTTCATGAAGTGTTAGGGTTTTTCTAGTTGAGAGAGGCAAAACTCGAATAAATCCATTGAGAGAGAGAGAGAGAGAGAGAGAGAGAGAGAGAGAGAGAGAAATAAAACAAATTGAAAAATGTAGCCATTAATTTTTGCAAGGAGCCACTGATTTTGCAAGTGTGAAAGGTGCAAGTGTATTTTGTGTAGAGTACAACTCTAATTTCTTTTTAGTGCAATTCCATAGTGTGAAGGGTGCAAGTGTTCCTTATGTAGGGTGAAACTCCATCTCTATCTTGTGTAGGGTGAACTTCATAGTGTGAAGGGTGTAAGTGTATCATGTGTATTGTGCAACTCCATCTACGGTGTATCTTGTGTAGGGTGCAATTCCATGTTGTGTAGAGGGCAACTCTACACAGTGTAAATGGTACAAGTGTATCCAATGTAAGGTGCATTCCGTCTAGTGTATGGGGCAACTTCATAGTGTGAAGCGTGCAACTCCATCTTGTGTAGAGGGTAACCCCATAGTATGAATAGTGCAAATGTATCCCGAGTATGGTGCAACTTCATCTTGCAAAGGTTTTTGGATGAATTAGAAATTTTATATTAAAAAAAAATGACAAAAAATTTAAATTTGTCATTGAAATGCATTATATCAGATCAAATTTTTATCAAATTTTTATTCAAATTTAATAAAAAATTTAATGAAAATTAGAGATACTCTAATAAAAGTAAAAATAATTTAAACTGCAAGATTGAGAGGTAAAGAAAGTATACTTAATATATTTAATAAATTAAATTATATATTTAAAAGTTATTTGTTTAATATAATCATAAGAAGACGATGAAAGTAGAAAAAATTTTATTTCAGTGAACAAGTGGTAAAAAAATTATATTTTTATGATGGCGTAACTCTCCTACGTGTATAGTGTAAATTCATTATTGTGTTTGATGTAATTTTTGTTGTGTATCAAAGTTGCACAAAAAAAAATTCTCATTTAATAATATAAAAAATTACCAATAGGTCCTAATAGTTGGACTTAATTCTCATCAAATCCTATTGAAAATAAGTCTTTGTAAAATTATCGTTAAAAATAATTTTTTTTTGACAATTTTTATATATCGCTAAAAATTGACAATTAGTGACTTTTTTTGTCATGATTTTCTTAAATTGTCGTTAAAACTTATAATTAGTGACTTTTTTTATGAAAATTTTTTCTCGCAAGCTTATATATTAAACAATAAATCCACTTATTAGAACCTACGTAACCCCATAGTATGAATAGTGCAAATGTATCCTGAGTATGGTGCAACTTCATCTTGCAAAGGTTTTTGGATGAATTAGAAATTTCATATTAAAAAAAAAATGACAAAAAATTTAAATTTGTCATTGAAATGCATTATATCAGATCAAATTTTTATCAAATTTTTATTCAAATTTAATAAAAAATTTAATGAAAATTAGAGATACTCTAATAAAAGTAAAAATAATTTAAACTGCAAGATTGAGAGGTAAAGAAAGTATACTTAATATATTTAATAAATTAAATTATATATTTAAAAGTTATTTGTTTAATATAATCATAAGCAGACGATGAAAGTAGAAAAAATTGTATTTCAGTGAACAAGTGGAAAAAAAAAATTATATTTTTATGATGGCGTAACTCTCCTACGTGTATAGTGTAAATTCATTTTTGTGTTTGATGTAATTTTTGTTGTGTATCAAAGTTGCACAAAAAAAATTCTCATTTAATAATGTAAAAAATTATCAATAGGTCCTAATAGTTGGACTTAATTCCCATCAAATCCTATTGAAAATAAGTCTTTGTAAAATTATCGTTAAAAATAATTTTTTTTTGACAATTTTTATATATCGCTAAAAATTGACAATTAATGACTTTTTTTGTCATGATTTTCTTAAATTGTCGTTAAAACTTATAATTAATGACTTTTTTTATGAAATTTTTTTCTCGCAAGACCTATTAAGCAATAAATTCATTTATTAGAACCTACACGGAAATATTCCATTATTTATGACTGTCATATCCATTTGTAATTTTTCCATAAAAATGAGATGGTAGAAACAAATATCTCCCCTCTCCAGCGAAAATCTTGACAAATCAGGACTTGTCAAATTGCTAACCCGACCCGTAGAACAACCAACTTCGCTTCCTCCCAAACATGCCCCAAACCCAAAAAAATAAAAAATAAAAAATTTAGTTGACGCAAAAATTTTCTTATTTTCTTTATGGATTTTTCTTTAGAAGTGTTCATATTATTAACGTGGTCAAGCCGACGCGGCATTAGATAATTGGACAAAGCAAAAAATCTATATAACACGACTACGTAGTCATTCTTCATTTCTGACTCTCCCAAAACACGACTCAATTCTCTCTCTCTCTCTCTCTCTCTCTCTCTCATCTTCAAAATCAGGCGATCCGATTACTCGGCGGCCATTTTCCTTCAATCACGAGACCAAGGCGAGTTCGTTGCACTCTCTCTCTCTCTCTCTCTCTAGAACTTTCTATGTCACAATCACATATATATATATACGTACATATTGTATGATTTGTTGATTTGTGTGTGTTTTAAGATGTACGATTTTTGATTGTCGAGGGTTTAAGCTGTTTTGTAACCTAAAATTTTGCTCTTTCTGTGGACTTCGATTAGAGAAGCGTGAGATCTGATTCTCAGATCTGTGCTTTGTTCTAGGGTTGTTTAGCTTTGGAATTTGATGAGATGAGATGATATGATATGATATGAATGCTTTCTTTCCAATTGTGTGTATGTGTGAGAATTCATGGAATTGAGTATGGTTTGTGATCGATTTGTGCCGAGAATTTGCATTTGTTTGGAGGTAAATTGTGTATTTTATTTGGATTGTTCTAGATTTGATCTTTATGATCTAGTAATTGTACGAACCCTAGAATAAAGCACAAAATTTGGGAATTTGATCTCATGCTTAAACCCTAGAGTAAAGCACAGATATGGGACTAGTGATTGTATGAACACAAATTTGTAATTGATGCAAACTCGTTTTGCAGTTAATGTTGTTTCTTTCTTTTATTTTCTTTTTTTCTTTGATAAATAAATAAGACTTTATTGAAAAAAGCATCTAGAAGATGCAAATAATACAAAGCACTAAAAACACCTAAAAAGCTCCTACCAATAATATCATCCAAAAAATCTAAGAAGACAAACAAATCCGAATCCACCCTTCTCTCGACCCAACTGTACAAAGTGACAAGCGGTCGATTTTCAAGCCACCCAACCGAATGGGAACTCGCTTGAAACGTTCAGCGATTCCACTCTAACCAAATCAACCACAACAGACAAAAAGAAAAAGGCACCAACAACCATACCGGCCGCCACCGCCTCCCAACCCGGGCCCCCCGCCAACTCCATATTTTTTTTTCGATCGTGTCCCAACACTCGCTCAAGTTAATTCGCACCTTGTCAATTTTGATTGAATTTCCGTTTGTATGGAAAGTCAATTGATGAAAATTGATTGAAATGTGTTTATGTGATATTGAGGACGTTTGACCTTAAGGCAAACCTGGTAGTGTTTTGTCAATCATTTGAATGAAAGGTTCATGGTTTAAAATATTGCCGGCCATTATGTAATGGTATTTGGAGCCTCTGTTTTGGATACACATGCTTGTATCAGCTCTAAAAATAATAATAATAATAATAATAATAATTAAAATTTAAAATGTAAACGGCCGATATGATTTTATATTGGTTGATATGGTCATTGTTTTAGCCTATGTGGTCGTTATTTTGACTGATACCATTACATCCTTTGTTTGCATACACAAACTCAATCTAGGTCACATTTTTAGATCATTTTTCTTCATGGATGAGACTAGAGAAGAAGTTAATACTAAGTTGGAGACGTGGAGAGAAACACTTGAATATAAAGTATTTAGGATAAGCAGAACTAAGACAAAGTACATGGAGTATAATTTTAGCAACAGTAATAATGGAAGCAGAGGAGAAATGAAAATTGAGAACCAAGAACTACCTAAAAAAATTTTTTTCGTTATTTAGGATAGATTAACACTTTCATAAAATTAAGGCATGGTGACTTAAATGGAGGAGTGCGTCTTGGATATTATGTGATAAACGAGTACCCACTAGATTAAAAAGAAGTTCTATAGAACGGCTAGTAGACCAGCGATGTTGTATGAGACAGAATGTTGAGCAACTAAGAAATAATATGTAAATAAGATGAGTGTTACTGAAATGAAGTTGCTAAGCTGGATGTGTGGCAAAACTAGAAAAGATAGAATTAGGAATGAGTATATTTGTTAATGGGTATGAGTAGCACTAATAGAAGATAAGTTGAGAGAGAATAGATTGAGATGGTTTGGTCATATACAACAGAGGCTAATAAAGGCAGTAGTGAAGAGATGTGATACAGTGACGGTAGATGAAAGTGTTAGGGAAGGGGCAGACCTAAATTGACGTGGGGGAGTGTAGTAAATAGAAATATAAATCTCTTTAATTTGACTAACCAAATGGTCGTTGATAGAGGCGAGTAGAAAAGAAGGATTCACGTAGCCGACCCCATTTGATGGGACTTAATGCTTGCTTTGGTTTGCTTTTCTTCATTCCTCTTTGTCATTGCACTCTACTTGTTTGAAATACTTATTTCTACTCATTTAGGTCTTGAAACTTCAACATTCAAGCTTAACCTTTCATCCTACTTACAAAAACTATTAATTTGCTATTGAATTTTAGTTGTATATGCCATTCCATTTAGCAAAATGATGGATCCCTTGTGGCACATCTGCTCAAGAATTTCAACAAATTGCAGTTAAAAGTATTGAGACAATTCACATCACCTCTAATTGTGAGAAAAATTAAAATACATTTAGCCTCATACACATGAAGACGAGGAATTGGCTAAAATACATCATGTTAAACAAACTTGTCTGTGTTCATTATAAGATGGGTATAAAGATATGATGGTTTATTTCAGTCGCCCATTCCCTATGATTATGTTTATCAGCCTCTTGAAAATTCTTGAATTTATTTTTTGATTCCTGCCTGTTTCATGAAATAGGTGGTATCTTTTCTTTTTGCCTATTTCATTTTCCCCCCTTGTAAATATCCTGTTTTGTAATGGCAGGAATCATAAAAGACTACCTATTTCAAGAATTAAATAATTCTAGAATTTTCAAGAACATGAAACAGGCAGGAACAAAATGCTACCGATTTCATGTTCTTTCATTTTTTTCTATTGTTGGTATGTGGTGTGTGTGCATTTTTTGGGGGTGGGTGGGATGAGAGGACTGGTCGCTTTTTGCAGCTAATAATGAATGGACAGGTGGGTGTTTTGTTCTAAACTTTAAAATGCTTGTTGCAGAAATGGCTATAAATGGAGCAGCACCCCCAAGAGGAAGTGCAGCAGCAGCAGCTGCCAATCTGCGTAGGAGGAGGACGACAAGTGGTGGTGGGGCTGCAGGAGGAGCAAGCAGCACCATGCTCCAGTTTTACACAGATGATGCCCCAGGACTCAAGATTTCTCCCAATGTTGTTCTTATAATGAGCATCGGTTTCATAGCATTTGTTGCCGTTCTTCATGTCATGGGTAAGCTGTACTTCGTTCGCCAAGAGGCTTGATAGAGAGGTTGTTCTATGGTTGGCTCTAGCTGGCTAAAATTACTGAATTCCGGATTTTGAATTGTAGTGTCATTACTGCTTTTGAATATTTGATTATTTGATGAATGAGTTGGGAAGAACAATTTCATCATTATATTTTCTATTTTATTATCATCAAGTGCATCGGGGGACTCCCAAAGATTGGCCAGCCAACAAGAAGCTCCAATGAGAGCCAAGAGAACACATTAGAATTGAAATGAAATCACAAACAAAGAATAATCCAAAGAGTTCACAATAGAATTTTCATCTTCTTTGACCAAGGACACAGAAGAAATGAGTTGCTCTAAAGATTCATCTTCTTGTGAGTTTTGAGGCAATTTGGGGATATTGTTTGTGTTCTTAAGCCTCATTTGGGATGCTACCTTTTTAGCCAATTAGTCAAAAAGTTACTAAATTAGCCAATTAGTCATACCAAAAAGTCAACAATTACGGCTTCTCTTTACTTTTTGCACAGCTTTTCGTAATTAGTCAAAAAGTCATCCCAAACATACAAGTTTTTTTTACCTTTCTTTTTAGCCAATTAGCTAAAAAGTTATTAAATTAGCCTGTTCTCAAACGAGGCCTTATGCTGTGTTTGGTTGGGGTTTTTGGGGTGGGATTTGGAAAAGGAATGAGAAATGTAATCCTATTTATGTTTGGTTATAATAAAAACAATTTCATCATTATATTTTCTATTTTATTATCATCAAGTGCATCGGGGGACTCCCAAAGATTGGCCAGCCAACAAGAAGCTCCAATGAGAGCCAAGAGAACACATTAGAATTGAAATGAAATCACAAACAAAGAATAATTGAAAGAGTTCGCAATAGAATTTTCATCTTCTTTGACCAAGGGCACAGAAGAAATGAGTTGCTCTAAAGATTCATCTTCTTGTGAGTTTTGAGGCAATTTGGGGATATTGTTTGTGTTCTTAGTGTCTATATTTTCAAAAACTGCAAGTCCATTTTGGCAGGCGAAGATAAGAAAGATGAGGAGATTTTCTTATGTGAAACTTTAAATTTCGAAATAAATTTCCAGAGATCCACAGGAATGTATGTCATAAAAGATGGTTCGGGTCCTTCATACCCTTTCAATGGAGTACATGACATGTGTCGCAGTATCTTAAATGAAAAATCGATGGACCTTCTGAGTGAGCAATCTACTACTGTTAATTGGCCTTCTGAGCACTAAATCTTAATAATATTTTAATGGGAAGAACTTGTAGTGTAGTTATTTCTATTAAAATTTACTACTATTTTCCACTTCCCAAACATATTGAATCTGTTTGTTACAATTTATTATAAATTAAATTTTAATAATCCAAAAATATTAACTGAAAGTACTTCCCCGCCAACATGTTGGATCTGTTCGAAAAGTATTAATCATCTTATTTAAACTTTTTCTGCTTCATAAAACTGTGAGTAAAAGATGTACCAAACAAACAACTTTGAAACAAAAACTGACACAAAAGTATGTTTGGTTTGGATTTGTAAAGTGATTTTGGAAAAAAAAAAAAATTTAATTTTGTTTGGTTTGTAAATTTTTCAAAATAATTTTCAAAATCACTCTTTTACCTATCAATCAATCACTTTTTCTCTCTGCTCTCTTCTTCGCAATTACTTTTTTTCTCACACACATCTATTCAATTATAACAAAATATCAAATCATTCCAAACTCCAAAATTACTTTCAAAAAACACAACCAAACAAATCAAAAAAAAAAATCTAAACTCTCCCCCCAAAACAATTCTTAAAAATTACTCTCCCAAAACCAAACCAAACAAAGCATAGGTCTCTGACCAATCAACAAGATTTTTCAAGAAGAAAGATGCTTAGGTTACTTCCTAGAAAGAAGCTGCAAAACATCTTCTCTAACAAAAACTCGAACATGAAAAAACTAGTCCACCAATTAGCTAGTGCAATTGTTCATGTAAAAAAAATCTAACTAAAAATTAATTAGACATTTCTATTTTAATGATTGGATGACAAATTTAATTCATTTTTTTTTTCAAGAAAAAAAAATAATCTGGCTACTAATATGTTTGACCAGCGTCCGATAAATTTGATTTTTTTTACCAAATAACTTCTCTCTGCAGATCAAGTCATTACAAATGAACAATTTGAACAATTCAAAGTAGATCACAGAGTGGGCACGCCAAGCCCAACAGCACTGTAAAGTTCGATCACCAACTGAAAGACTGAGTTCAACTCCTTAAAGCCCAGACAGATTAGACTTGACTAGAATTGCACTATTATTCGACTAACTAGAAGATTAGGATAACACAACTCAACGTCGTATAAGCATACCAATCTTCCTTCATAATCGAAGATCAAAAAGCTAATCAAGATTCAAATCTAATGCCCATTACTCAAGAATCGAAATGTCCAAAATAGTTGCGAGCTTCATTGTCTAGAAATGAAACAATAAAAAAGAAATATTTACATTAGAACTGTTTTACTAGCATATCAACTAAAATTCAACTAATCACAACAACAGATTGGCCGTGTTTTGGAAAATAATGAATAAAATACAACAGGGTTTCCAAGCGCCGAAAGAATTAGTGCATGTTGTCGGATATCCCACCTGAGACCACGCCCTCGTCTACAGGTTTTGGTCCCCCACATGATCTTGAGACTGATTCAAAGAGTTTCTCTATCTCCGGTGCACACCTCGTAAAAGACCGGCTCCAGAAGTTGTATCTAGGATTCTGATTTGACAAAAAACACAACTACTTCGTAAAACGCCCAAGACTTGAACACAAGCAAATTGTGCACTATGAGTGAATGAAAACACAAAATTACCTTAATCAGCTCAATGAAAGTAATCAAAAGCCCCCATGGATGAGGTCTGTTAACGATCAGGCGTTCCAATAGAACTCTTGTAATTTGCTCCTGAATGATTTCCTGTTCAGCGTGAAAGAGAATATCCCATGAGAGACATAATCATGTCAATAATCTTATTCACTGGATGACTCGAAAATGACAGTGCTTGAACCTTCTAGAAGCATAACAGACACTATAGAGGCATGCAATCTAATTTTGATAAATATGCTTCCCAGAACATAATTAGTGCTTGAAATAAATTAATTCTATCAAAGATATCTTAAAAATTTACTCTGGTACTTTTAAAACATGTAAAACAACTTTTACTGAAGAGATTGAAGAAATTATCATCTGATCAAGGCTTTGATATACTAAAGCCATATCACGTGCAAAAAAAATTTAAATTCTCCAGAAGATAAACTACTTGACCATCAACAGGAATGAAAAATTACAGATCATAAGGTAACAAGTAAACTACAAATAGAGAGGTTTAGCTCACCTGGTTTGATTCGGCGAATAGGTAAAGGAGGATGAACGAGAAATAATGTGTATGGTTGTTTGGATAACGTAGTTGGTTAGCAATTGCATTCAAAAAGAGGTAGCGCCCTTCAGTATCTAGATCCATTATTAATGTCTGGAAGATGTCCAAGGCAGCACCAACTAAGAATACAGCTAATGGAACGCTACTGGCCATTGACTGTGCATGAGGAGGAGTTCTTGCTTGCAGCTGCTGAATAGCCTACAGTATGATTGACCAAAGATGAGTTCAAAAATCCGAGTGCAAGAAGGGTAAGAGAGGGAGAGAGGGAATATAAAGAAAATAACCCAAGAATAATATGAGATTGTTGGAAAAAAATTAATTCAGATAAAACCTCATATTATTCTAAAGTCGGGATTTTCCTGACATTGAAACAAATATAATTTGAGTACATTCAATATTTGTTTCATTAATCAGTCCATACACAGCAAAATATGATGTGTGCAACACACCATAAATACGGTTGCGTTGTGCTCATCAATCACTGGTCCAATAAAGGTTCAAGGTGCATTTGTGAATTCATTGGACTAAATTTGCGAACTGAATTTATGAATCCATGGATTGATCTCAAATCTATTTAATTCATACTAAAATTCATAATTTGGTGGCCGGAATGGGTGAATTAGTTAGATTAGCACTATTGCATACTGAAAAAGAAAAATAAAAAATTAAAGATTAAAAATAAAAAAAATAATAATAAAAGATATGCATGGACACACCTGCATTCCAACATAAAGCACAAGGGAGTTGATTAATGGTACATTATACTGTGTCCCAGCCTGGGCAGCATCACTTGGTGGAAGCAACAGTTTCTGTTTCAATTCAGTTAAAAACGAAGACCCCTGTTGCCTTGTCTGCATATAATTTTGAAATGAAAAGACCAATCACATAAGGGAAAGAAAAGGCAACAAAAAAGCAACTAGACATTGTAGAATTGATTACAAAGAATTTGAACGAAAAAGAAACACAAGAACTCCATCTTCATGTTTTTGAGTTCTTGATATGAAATGTTAGTCGGCTAAAATTCAGATACCTTCAGATACTCATCTACATCACCCTTAATCATCTTCACTTTAAGAGCTGCATCAACTTCAGAGAGAATACGCGGAGATTGACTGATCTCAGCTAACAGATCAATCTGTACAAATGAAATAGAAGAGTTGGTTTGGGATGAGTTGAAATCTATTAAACGATTTAAAAGGTAGTCAATTATGCTCAATGAGACACCTTCAGATTTGGAGTAGATGGGTCTGGTAACCTCATATTACGAGGAAATGCACTAAGGATTATGTTTCGCATCTGTATACAGCTTGGAGGAATGACATCACAGAAGCTGAAATGATAATCGCAGAGGAACTCGGGGAAATCATGAAGTAGCACTAGCAACACCCTTAGTGTGCCTTTATACAGAAAATGAACCTGTAAAAGTTTAAACCAAAAGGATACAAGGGTGCAATCAGTAACAGGCAATAATGGGAGGCAAAAAAACGAGTACACATTGGGGAAATTAGGCAAACCGGCTCTCTAAGTTCAGCATTTCTCAAGAATGGCTCCAGGAATTGAAACAAATCAACCAGCAAGCGTTGCATATATGGCCACCCCTTCTGAGCGTTTCCAGTGAGCAATTTTGGCATAAAACTTCTGTGGCTCACCAGTTCAAGCCATGCAAAGCTGAAATCATTTCAACCAAGTAAGCAAGTGGTCCCAAAAATTCAGACAGCATTTTAAATTATATCTGCAATCTAAGACAGGTTATGACTAGGGTTCAATAATTTAGCACCTTGCCATCAGCAATTATTCAGAAATTTAATACAAATTAACACACTGTAAAGCATTAGTTTTTGTCACTTTTAGCAAGTACCTATCTTTCAAACATGCACAACAACATACAGAGTAGACAGAAACTATTATGAGCTTAACGTAGTGAATATCAATGCCAACAACACCAAAAGTTACATAATCAACAGGCACATAACAGTCACTTTAAAAGCTATGCTTCGCAAATTAACCAAAAATGTCCATCAACATCCATATCTCCAACCAAAGCAGTAACCATTCATGCTGCTGGGTAAACGATTGATTGTTAGTCAACATCGAGATCCAAATCTGGGTTGTATAAACTATAAGTTGAACCTTATTGTACAGGTAAGGAAGCGAGTAATAAATGAACCTGAATCCGGGAACATTAAGGGGCTGTAGAGCATGGAATGCATTTGCAAAAGCTGTCAAAACCTGAACATACACACTACGATTAGTCATTTAATGGAGACAACAATGGATAAAGCAAATACAGAAACACCTTACCTGAAAGTTTGCACCATCAAAGACAAGGTCAATTGAACCCAGGTCGAGCAGCAAGTTAATGAACAACCTGAAATATGGCCTTGGATTAAAAGATGACTTCTTCTCCTCTGCATCTTTCTGAACAAGTCTCATAGTCACTCCCAGAACCTGTGCAGACACCAAACACTTAGGGAAAAGCACTGCTTCCAGATAAGCAACAAAAGAACTGATATAACTATCAAGCCGGGAGTCAAACCTTGGGCAAAAGAGAGAGTTTGTTTGATCCCTGGTCCACCGGATAAAACTAGCAAAATCACATGAAAAGTCAAGGCATGAAAAATAAATGGGGGAAAAAAGGAAGGGAAAAAAAAAAAAATATATATATATATAGATCCAGAGGCAAATATAGCTCTACCTTTAAGATTGAAAAGACAAGTTTTGCATAGATATCGATAGCAAGGAAGGAGAGGGGCTGGACTTGTTGAGATGATTGCTGAGGGCCAGAACTAATCACCTCAGAAGATAGGCAATGCGATACAGAAAGTTCCTGAGTTTTAAAAAAATAAAAATACAAAAATAAAAATAAGGAAAAAAGAAAAAGAGGGGAGAACAAAATTAGGGGATAACAGTTTAAAACTAATTATTATGTAGATGTAACTTCAGAGAAAATTACCATCAGGGAGCGGAAAAAACGATCTGACATATCATCTCCTTTCAGCAGTCCACTTTGCTGCAATTGTAAGACGAAATGGGCACAAGCTGCATCATTTGTACCAGGAAGTTCACATATCCTGTACCATTCCACAAACAACGAAGAAACCTACAAAAAAAATGCATGTTCCAATAGGTAAGAAACATATAAAATTATAAGTACAAAAATATTTAGTCATTTCCCCAGCTTCATATCGATTATTTAAAGAGGAATTCGTCGAATCCAACACCATCCCCACCCAAAAAAGGAACAGAGGGGGACCCCACCATTAACAATTTGAACTCTCTAGCTATTCATTGTACTATCTTCCTATTTTGACATATAAATGCATAAATTGAGCATAATAGATTTTCCCAGATTTTTTTATTGAAAAAGCTGGTGAAGAAAATGACATCTGAAAGAGTTTATAAGGTACTCATCAAATTAAAAATGGTGTAAACAGCTAAAATGGCACATAATGGTCATAATGCCATGAGTCCAGGACTAATAAAGGTCAGAAAACTCGACAACAAGCCGATACAGCCGCAGTTTTAATCCAGCCAATATTTACCAATAGGCACTAATAGTTGAACTTAATTTCCATCAAGTCCTATTAAAAATTAGTCCTAATAAAATTGTCACTAAAAATAATATTTTTTGACGATTTTTTGTATGTCGCTAAAAATTGACAATTATTGTTTTTTTTGTCATGATTTTAATAAATTGTCGCTAAAACTTACAATTAGTAACTTTTTCTATGACTAATTTTCAAATTGTCGCTGAAAGTTAAAAATTAGCGACTTTTTTGTGACGATTTTTTTAAAATGTCGCTAAAACTTATAATTAGTAATGCTTTTTGTGACAAATTTTTTGAACAATTGCTGAAAATTAACAATTAATGATATTTTTTAATAGTTCTTGATGAAAAATGTTGCTAATTATCACAGGACCTATTGGACAATAAGTCCACCTATTAAGACCTACACATAAGTTCCCAACCATAATGGAAGCCAAGGATAATAGGCCTGGTTGGTACAACTTCCAGCAAGCTAAAAGTTTATAAACACAAAGCAGAAGCTAAAAGCACCTTTTCACCCCCGCTTCCCAATAATGAACTTTTTTCAAACTTATTTAAACAATTTCTGCATCATAAGTTGTATGCAAAAAGTGCACCAAACACTCTAGCACAGAATTACAAAAAAAAAGATATAAGCAACTCCACAAGCCCTGCACCAAACAGCCCCAGGGTCATGCAAAGGTAATAACCAATTTTAAGCCATGGCTAAAACATAAAGCAAATTACTTTCTAGTTTCTACTACGTAAGGTCATAGATACCTGCTCACGAAAACCAGCAGGATCAGGTTCCATTGACTCAACAACATTATAGTCTTCCCTGCTTGCTACAGCATGACCAGGAGCCTGTTCCAGCAGATATAGATATGTCAGGACACACAGAATGTTAAACTGACCAAGAATATAAAAAACTAACTGGCCATAACCATTTCATATCTATGTTTTGAAACCTGTTTCAAGTTTTATTGTTTTTGTTTTGTTTTTTTTTTTTTTTTTTTTTTTTTTTTTTTTTTTTTTTTTTTTTTGATGCCTTTAGTTTTCATATTTTAGTAAATTTTTTTACATTTTAGATGCACCTCAAAAGTAAAATATTTATGTAAAAATTTGAAAAAGTTCACTAGTGACCAATAAAAAGGAAATGTAAAGGTTTTTTTTTTGTTTGTCTTTAGTTAACTTTTTGACACAACACGGACACGACACGTCGACATATAAATTTTCAAAAATGTAGGACACATGTGGAAAGTGCAAAATATATAATTTCATATATTTATTATGTCATATAAAGATCAATAATTATTATATGTCATATATATATATGAATATTTAAGTCAAAAATAATTATTTTTTAAATCTAAAGAAGAAAAATAGGGTATAAATTTACTCTGTTTTTTTTTTTTTTGGTTCAGCAACAACAAAGATTTTATTAAGGTACAAAGCCAGAAAAGAGGCGAGGATAAGGCGTTCCCTACAAGGTATAAATTTACATTGTTTTGGTTTATCATTGGACTCCAAGTTATTTTATTCAAACTTGTAATGTGTTTCATGTGTGTCCAAGTGCTGGGAAGTGATTGTGTTTCTTAGGGTGCATCTAAAAATTAAAAAGATTTGGACTAAAACATGAAACAGTTAATTAAAAACAAACAAAAATGACAAAAGTCAAAAACAGTTTTTAAGTTTGAAACCAAAAAAGGTGAATATTTCTGGTGACCTTTTTCTCTCTAGCTTGTCTGGTGCTATCCTCCTTGCCAACAGACACAGCAGCATTATTAGCAACAGGATTCCTGGCAACCTCAACCAGCTGTTGTAATGACTCGGGAGATCCAGGCCTTGCCGCAAGCTGCAGATGAGAAATCAATCAGAACAGGACACAATCAAATTTGCCCATATCAAACAAAATAAATAGAAACAAACCTTTGCCAATGCATCAACGAGATTATGAAGTTCGGAAATGACTTTGGAATCATTAATCACCAATGTTTGAATAAGGGAAATAGCAAACTCGGTTGCAGCCTCTGCAAATTATACGCAACTAGTTAGCTATGTCACTACCTCTAGGAGTAATCATACAGAGAAGTGTTACTTATACATACTATTCCTTCCTGCATCAATCAGCTTAGCCATATGAACATTGTACTCTGCAAGGTTTAGTAATTCATTGTGAATAAGGCCAATAGTAATATCTTTGTTGAACTTTCGATCCTCATCGGAGTAGATCACCTGTTAAAATAAATTACAACCTGATTTATTATAGTGAAAAACTGCAAAAGGATCAACACCAGTCAATCCAAAATAAATCGAGACAACTGCCATTTACAATTACAGGTAATCTATATTTACTTTCATTACATTGCAGTATTAAAACATAAAATCAAAATGAAAATAAGACCAATAGGAGAACTTTATAACATTGCAGTATTAAAACATAAAATCAAAATGAAAATAAGACCAATAGGAGAACTTTATAAAATGGTATTATTTTGCAAGACCGTGATAGAAAAACAAAAACATAGACCTCAATTATCTAGCAACTGTATTTTCAAAATAAAAAAATAAAATAATAATAATAATAAGCCTTTTTAAGCAGAAATGATATCCTTTTCCCCGATTTGACCACTTTAATAATCTCTATTAATCACTAATCGGTAACCATGATTAAAGTCTTTACTATGTCCACATGCATTACATAGAAATCATAACAAAATCGCCAGTCATGACAAAAGTAATACTACTTCACTTTAAGGATTCAAGTAAACATTCACTGGATTAATTAACAATGCCACTACACAAGAAAGTTTGCAATTGAAAGAAACAATCATACTTCGTTGTCAAACCCAAACCAAAGAACCTGAAGTCATTATAAGCTATAAATCTATTCCAACAGGAAAAAGAAAACTTAATAGAAGCATACCCAGCTAGTCAGTTCCTTAAGAACAAGCTTGCTAACATCACGAATGGCAGCCAGAATGGCCAGATGAGCAGCGACATGGGTATTGTTTGATGCATTTTCATATAACCCCTTGAAAACCTGTGACACAGTGAAAATTCACACTCAAGGGTTCAAGATACAGAAGTAATTAAAAAGGCATAATTCCAATTTTGGGAAGCTAACACACCTTTTGAGCCACAGCCAATGCGGCCTCATCTCGACTTACACATCTCAGAATGATTCCAGGAACCTCACCAATTACTCCCTGAACACAAACGTACCATATGATATATATATATATATTGACATGCACCTCAAGAAAGTTTTAAATAAGAATTTCATAGGCAACATATTGGATTCAACTAAAAAGACAATAAACGAAGTCAATACCAAAGCATATTCTTACATGGAACTGTATCGGCTGAACAAATATGCCTATGCTGAATAAATTCCCTAAAGTAGTACCAGAAAAAAGAAAAATGCACGATACCTGAATATCTGCATCTTTAGCGTCATTAGTTACTTGAGTTTCCAGCTGTAACCAAATTAAAAACACTTTATCAGTTGAGTTGCATTTTTAAAGAAAAAGGACTTTTGAAAAATATATGAAGGCAATTTTTTGACAGCAAAAAAATGATATTCATGAGAGCTATAACTGGGATTCATAAGCCTTGTGGACAAATGGTACCGCAGATGCACCCGCATTGTAAAACATCAAAGGATTAGGAGCTAGCTAATGCTTTTAACTCCCACAAAGAGTGCTGATACACACTAAACATATTTATGCATATAAATAAAGTTAATGATGGGCATACTACAGTGTCCGTTTGTACAGTATAACAAGAGACGCAACACATAGTATATGATGAATTGGTCAGCATTGATAATGTTCACAACCCTAAAAATTGAGAAACATGAAAAATGGAAACAATCAAGTATTATAAATACCAAATATGGCCAGAATATGATAAATCCAAAAGGTAACTGCCAAACACTATAGTGGATAGTTTGTGTCTATTTAACGTACTTTGTTGTCGATTCCAGTGTTATTAAAGGTGCACCTAGGCATGTGCCTAGGCCCAAGTACCATCCAGGCAAGGTTTGCACCCTACAGTGTTCTAGGCCAGGCTACTTCGATAAGTTGTGCTTAAGGAGTGCGACTGGGCCAAGGCACAATAAAGCCTAAGGCCTGTGCCTTGATGGCTTTTTTTTTTTTTTATATATTGTTGCTTTGATTGGTTTTATTTGAAATCTGACCATTGATTTAATATAATGCAGCTATAGAACATCTCTACTCTTAAGTACACATGCCAATACATTGGGCATTTAGCCCCAAATCAATGATAGAAGAAAATTTAGTCCTAATTCCTAATTTCTGAAGAACTCTTTGTTGCTGCCTGCCTTCGTTATCTAGTCCAACAGCTCCAAAAATTCTTCATGTTGTTGTCTTCTTCTTCTCTTCTTATGTTTCTCTCACATTCTCTTCTCTTTTTCTTCTCTACATTGTTGTCTTCTCTACTTCTCTTCTCTACATTGCTATCTCCTTCTTCACATGGTTGTGATCTTCTTCTTCATCATCTTCTTCTTATGCTTATTCTCTGGTCTCCTCTTTCTCATCCTTCTTTGGACTGATCAGTTTTCTTTCCCCCTCTTCTTGTTCTTCTTCTCCCCTCTTCTTGTTACTGTTTTATGTTAAATTTTGAAATAATGTTCATTTGTCTATGTTAAAATAGTAGTGTTTGTTAGTATTTATATTTTTAAATGTTTAATATTTCATTTTGCTTATTTGGATCCTAAATTATTTGCTTATATTAAATTATGTATATTTTTTTGACATAAAAGGTGCGCCTCACTTCGGTAAAGCCTAGACCTCGCCTTGTGCCTTGTGCCTTGTGCCTTGCGCCTTGCGCCTAGGCCCCAAGAGACCTTGGCGCCTATCGCCTTTAATAACACTGGTCGATTCAAATTAGTTGTTTACTATGAAGCACAGATACTTAAAAAAGAGTGACATTTCCGATACGGATATGAATACTCGCGGATAAGTATCAGGTACTCCAAGCCACATATTACTTCTTTTATAAAATTAGAATTGTAGCAATTCTTGCATATCATTATAATATAATATAATATAATATAATTGTAAAAATAAATACAATAATATTTTTCTAATACTTTTAATTTTTTTTATAAGAAGAACATAAAATAAATAATAGAATTTGTCAAATTGATAAATCCTTATTGTTTTATGCATATCCCCTATAACTACATAGAAAGTAAGGATTAAGAAGACAATATAACAATACGAAAATTAAATACCAATAAATAAATAAGCAAATAAACTTGAATACAACATTTTTTACTTGTGCCAAGTTGTGGATTGTTCTATTATTGTAACATGGACATACTAAACTTGATATTGAAATGAAACATCTGCAAGACTTACTGAAAATTTAAAAAATAAACAAGCTACTTAGCTACTTAAATTAATACCTAATTCTTAAAGGTTAGTATTATCAAATTACAGTGTGGTTTCTCAAAATTCTTAGTTTATGTGTAACTCACTAGTTGTACCCGCATCCTATTTTTTTAGGTTTTGTCGTATTGCCATATCCATATCTATGCTTTCTAGGTTGTCTAGCATGAATTAACGAACAACACATAATGATGACATGTTTCTTATAATGTTGCACAAACATACAAATATACAAAATCAGATTTAAGTCCGTGTCTAATGTCTGTGTCTATATATAAAAAATGTGAAAATTCACGAATGCAACTTTCATTGCAACATCAAAAGCAAAGGGGTGGCAGTTGGTTTAAAACCACACAAAACATGAATATGTACCTAGGGACAGCTACGGTGCAAATTTTCTACAGATACACTAATCGTGACAAGAACATCAGCAAAAATAACAAACAACTATCTACATAAGCTATTTGAAACCTTCTCCGAAATAATCTCGTATTTCTCCAATGCATCGCCTGTGGTCCACAAAGGTTCTGGAGTACTACTTCCTAGGCGTTCAATCACAGATGTTGAAGGTAATGGCTGTGAAGAAGCAACCGATTCCTTGCAACGAAACAAAGCATTTGTCAACTAAAAAGCAACTGTCTCAAGCGAAATACGAACTTGAATAGACAAAATTTCACTCACTTTTACAATGTTGGATGTTTCCACAGAATGCAATTCAGGGGATGAGACAGAAGAAAATGAGTTAACAATAGCATCATTTTCAAAATCTTGTGAATTAACTCCATCAGTTGTTCCAATATGAGTTGAGGAATCACTGAAATATTACAGAAATCATTCACAAACAAAAATTGTTTTTGAGTTTAAGAAACTGAAAATCTAGAAAAGAAAAAACACCTATGAAGCTGAGCTGAACTAGAATCCATCTCCTCAGAGACAAGGTCCAAGGGCTGAACCACTGCACTAATTCCTGTGTTTCCTATGCCAGATGAGAAAATGCCTGGGTTCAGTTGTCCTGACGCTGAGTTAAATGTCCAGGACATGCCAGCACTGACAGATGAAACCGAAGGGCCAACTGGTAGGGCATTTGAGCTATTGGTTGACTGATTCTGCCAGGGTAACCGAACAAAATCCTGGAAGAAAAAAAAAATGCAATCAGACAATACCATCCTCGGCAGCCTAGATATATCTCACAAAGATTAGCAGGTGGTCACCTCATAAACACGTTGTTGAGAATGGGATAACCGGCCAGGTTTAGGGCGAAGGGCTTCTGGTAAAACTCCGGCATGACCTTGTGCATACAGACCTGAATCAAAATATGCAGGACCAAGACCCTCTCTATGCTTCCTTCTTACAGAAAGTTGTTGAGCTATTTCCCCATCGATGGTTTGTATTGCCTGTATAAAGCAACATAGGCCGAAAAAACCACCACCAAAAAAAAAAAAGAAGATTATGTTAATGTTGTATTGCCACAAAAAGATATTCATCTGCAAACATCCTTGATCAGTCAATCAAGCCTTTACATATAGACAAAATAGTATAAATTAAATTATATATATGAACATTTTTATACAACACTTAATATGCAAACAACTAAAACCAACAAAGTCAATTTTGTGAACATAAACATAAGTTGGGAACAGCTATATCCACAGCCAAAATTGATGGAATCCACAGCCCACTCTTTCACATAGGTGCAACCCACATATTTTGTGGGGGAAAGGGCCGCATCCAGCCACCTGGCTTCAGAACTAACTCCATTCTACATGTTTTACCTGTGAAACCCCTAAAAACATGAATGTCTCAAGCCAGATACATTTTATGAAATCACATCTAATACAACTTTTTCCAGATTACGAACAACGCCACTCTTGGCCGCTTTTGTATTTGTGTTCACCAACGATTCTATAGGAGGAATATACTAATCCATATACACTGCATAGTGCATCTTCACCTAAAAGTGTGGAAGTCTGAAGAAAACTTTATTGTCTATGCATCAACATTTATACATGAATCAAAAACTACCACAAGGTACAGCAATTCTACAGACCTATATTCTTAAGAAAGAATAAGGCAAGGAGTATGCACTGTAGTTATACGTTAAATTTTTGCAGTTGTAGTGTCTAGGGATGATTGATCAACTCTCCCTCTCAATCCACACTTGTTAACCCATATTTCGCATGTGTAGCAAGCTTCCTTCGAGGAAGACACAGGTGAAGAGCAGACACCACTCCATAAAGAACCAGTGTTCTCATATTATGATAACTTACGTAATTAATACCATTTTGTCCTTGTGGCGTTCATGGTTTGGATAAGCATGTACTGATTTTCTGCGTGTTTCTGTGGGTATGAGAGAGATGAGAGAAGAGAAGGGCCTTCCCAGAACCTTATCCAACAACAAAGTATTCTTCGGTTTTCTATACAACTTCTAAAACAGCTTTTCCAAATATTAGAAGTGAAAACAGTTCCCTGTTATTGCACGCATTATCAATTTAGCATAATGTGAATCAAAAGCACTGAAGTGAACATATGCATTAACGGATAGATAAATATATGCATAAATGCATTCCTATAGAAGAAAAAAGAAAGCAATCTAACCTTTTCTGTTGCAGCTTGTTCAATCAGTGCACAGCCCAGATCAAGGTTATCATTAGTAACAAGTTGCACAGCTTGTTCAAGTTCACTTGCAATATTTAAACCCTGAAGTGAATTCCTAAGCTGACTTGATATTGAGCCACGTAAGGGTTCCTATCAGTAATCACCCAATCATTGTCAAACACCAGGTAACAAAGGCGGACAAACATAAGATTCCAATCAGATAGGAATGCTATATTTTCAGATAACAAAACAGGACAATAGAACAGCAAAAGAGATATCCAGTTTGAGATGAAACCTTGCATGTTACATGAGCTAAACTTCCAGCCAAACTGGCAACCATCAAGTGTGCTGCATTACGTATGCGTGTCTCATCTAACTCCATGGCATAATCCTACAATTGCATTGTTATTCTCTAGTAAGAAAGCAACTAATAACAAATTATCCTATGCATGAAATAAAAATAATAATAATAATAATACTATCATATGGCTGAAAGAATAATAATAATAATAAGACCTTCAAAACAAGTTCTTTTGTTGTTTGAGTTGCTATAGAAACACTGCGCTGCACAATGCCAGATACTATCTCCTTGATAGCTCTATCCATAGCGATTGGAACGACACTGTAAAGACATAAATTTTGTCATAAAATATTTGATAATTTGCTCTGCAAATAGAAAAAGAGAATTTGAATAACAGTTTCAAACCTCTGAAAGTGCATGTACAGGCCGAATGCATGAAGCTTTGGATTTACAATAACTTGTTGTTCAATATTAGATGCTGGCGCTGGAAGCTGCAAAACAATCACAAGCTTTATGCAAGCAGCCAATGAATGATTACGAGATGAATAGAAGAAGCAAACACAACAAAACCTGACTAACAGAAAATGGTGATTGTCGTTGTAATAGTCCTTGAGCAGAAGAGAGCTGATCAGATAAGCCTAAAGCTGCCAGTTTTTCATCCTCCGTCAACGACAACGCACCAGAAGATATATGGAGAGGAGCAGCATACTAGATCCAACACAAGATTTGTTTGTCAGATTATTTGAAGGCTGGTATAATAGATGGCATCCAATTAAGAAATACAAACCTGAGACAATATATGTGAATGGCCACCAGGATGAGCTGGGGTGGCAACTTCAAGCGGTAGCTCAACTTGATTTAGGGTAGATATTGTACCAGATTTGACTTCACCAACCATCTGTTGTTGAGACGCACCAACGTCTTTGTTGGAAAAGTCGGGATTTCCTTCAAGTTGCCTTACCCTGTCCTTGAGCAGAGAAGTTGGAGTTACGTCCTTCAGATCAACACCAAGGTTCTTGAATAGGACCTGAAGCGTCAAAAGAATATATTAAATAAATATATGAATAGATAGTCCTGAAATCCAGAGAAGCACTCAGCACAAAAACAATACATGTAGAGACATATATACATGCATATATATACCTCGATATCAAACTTGAGGTTCATTTTTAAATTTGGCATTGCATAAATCTCAGCAAGTAATCCAAGAATACCCATTGTCCAAGGATTAGGAGGTTGATAAGCTAGACTGCTTTGGCATGGTTCCAAAACCTGCAGCAGGTAATAGAATATGAATATCACAGCACCCAAGTCCAGAGCATACACCTGAACGACCACAATAATCATACCTTGGAAGTGAATGGAATTACTGCAATCATCAAACCCTTCTCATATGCCTGTCAAAAAACACACAAATGGCATATAATGACAACAAAGAAAATCTTGTTTAGAAAGAATCAACTCCGAGAAGACTGCTGAACAAAAGAATTACCTCTATGATCAAAGACTTGGGATCAATCTCACGTGCTCTCAGGACTTGGTTTCTACCAATTGTGATCTTCCCAAGCCAACTTCCAAGATTCTTTAGCAAGGAACGCTCTTCTGAACTCGATTTTATAAGATCCGACCCTAAAAGAACCTGAAAAGACATGTAGAGGTTATATTTATTTTCCTCTAATTAACTCTATCAACAGATATGAACATATATGACATCAACCTTGCAGTTCTCATAAGTGGCTTGTACAACTTCTTTGTTCAAAGGCTTTGAGTTAACTTTGTCTAGAAACTTCAAGTACAAGTCGTGAAAATTTGGCTCAATGCTTGCTCTGTCAGGAAGTTCAACAAACCATGAAACAGAACATCCAAATTAACAAAATACAAGGAAGCAGGTACTGGATCAAAGCTATTAACGAGAATATAAAACAACAGAAATATACCATAAGCATTTAATGGTACACAAGAGAAAACACGTGTACAAAGAGGTTACATACATATATATTAATAGTCAAGGTGCAAAAAGTTAAGGGTGAGAATTTTCAACATGACGTGTCAACACAACTTGAACCGTACAAGATAACGCGGGTATTAAATGGGTCAGGTCAATGTTGAACCTTTACAACACGAATGTTTTGGTTTGAAGGATTTTGGCTAAAATAGCCAATAAAGACAAAAAAAAAAAAAGGGGGGCTAAAATAGCCAATAAGACAAAATGTCACATTCTACACATCCATCAAAAATCCACAATTACATACATATATATTAATAGTCAAGGTGCAAAAAGTTAAGGGTGAGAATTTTCAACATGACGTGTCAACACAACTTGAACCGTACAAGATAACGCGGGTATTAAATGGGTCAGGTCAATGTTGAACCTTTACAACACGAATGTTTTGGCTTGAAGGATTTTGGCTAAAATAGCCAATAAAGACAAAAAAAAAAAGAAGGGGGCTAAAATAGCCAATAAGACAAAATGTAACATTCTACACATCCATCAAAAATCCACAAATCATCCCAAACACAACTTTTTTTCATCTCATATAATAGCCAAAAAGCCAACTAAAATAGCCAAGTTCCCAAATGGGGCCAAAATTAACACAGATAACTAGTGTAACGAAGAATTAGTTACACATTATATAATTTTATTTCCACTAAGGGGTGCCATGACAAATTTGAATCCCCTACGTAACTCCATACAACTGAACAAGAAAGTGTGTAAAATAGGACTTTAAAGCTAATATAGTGTTCTTTTTCCTTTTCATTTATAATGTATTTTTTGTCTACTATTGTAGAGTCAATCTAGTAAAAAATAATGAGGTATAGTTTTTGTAAATTGGAGAAATGGAATTGCATTGAAATCTAACATTTTTATGAATAATTTCATCAAAGATTAGATTTATGAAATTTAACTAGTGGTGAAAAAAAATTAATTTCTCAATACACTCAGTATTTTGAACTAAGGGCGAAAACTTTTGACATGACACAGTAATACAACACAAACCGGACACGGCCCGAAAATGGCAAGACTCAATAACACGAAAAAATAAACAAGTTGGGTTAGTGTTGAGATAATTTGGACATAAATCCAAAATGACAACACAAACACGAACATGACCAACGCAGCACAACGCCCACCCCCCTACAAACAGTAGTATAGAGGATGTATACAAAAGAAACTTACTTTTACAAAAAATAAAAAAAAGAACTTGGACCTCCACAGTGTTTACAAAATCCAAAAGGGCAAAAAGAAAGGTTTTGCCCTTCCCGTTACCCAACTATGTTAGAGGCTCAAAAACACTCTACAAGATGGACTGAATTCTCATTACCGATATTTGCAGCAGATATATTCACTACATGATGGATAACTTGTCTTACTCACCTTTTCATTACCATGTACTGAGCAAACCAGGGATAGTACTGCTCTTTCATAAATTCAGTAAATTCTTTTGCTTTAGCTTCAACATTTGCAGCAGATAAATTATTAATAATAAACGAAATCTTGTCCTGAATCTCAGAGGCTGGAGCCTGCAAAAAGAATGTTAAAATTTTAAAACAAATTAGCCATTAAACAGATATAACAGACAAACAGACACATCACACAATACAGCTTGCAGATATGCCAGTAAGCTCCAAGTAATATCCTTTCCTCTATCATGATATATCATTATACAACATTCACTATCAACAGAAATTAACTTTCACAAATATAACAGACAAACAGACACATCACACAATACAGATTGCAGATATGCCAGTAAGCTCCAAATGATATCCTTTCCTCTATCATGATATATCATTATATGGCGTTCACTATCAATAGAAATTAACTTTCACAAATATTGATATCATTAAATTATTAAAAGATAATAATAGATAAAAACCGTGAGGTTGATCAGGTTGATTATTAAAACTGAACCTATCATAACCATAAGATTCAGGCAGATTCGGGCAGATCCAGTCCAATCTAGCTATAAGTGCTGGTCGTAGTCCTTGTGAGCACCAAATACCAAGCTAAGCCTACTACAAACATAAGATTATGCCAGATCCAGTCCAATCTAGATATAAGTGACAGTTGGAGTCCTTGTGAGGACATCATATATTTAAATGGGTGCATGATGGTTATCACCTGAACGCTTCCGAATCTCCATATAATAGCCATTTCAAAACTTTGATTATTGAAAAGTTTGAGGAAAACATATGTATGAAAAGGCAAATTACACTAACAAAGGGTGGCTCTGCAGGATTTATTTTATTTCCTTCATATCCACCACTTTATGGGAGGGCGCATATTGATGCCAGCAATAAGTGTATGTAAAATGAAAATCAAATTATGATGTAATCCCAAAGGAGCAATTTCAATGAAACATTAACTATAAGATGAGGATAAAGATTTTAAGCAAACTAGAAGCAGAAAATGATTGCTGGCCTTATTTCTGACATCGCTAATTAGTTAAACAGCGATGGCAGTGTGTTATATTTTGCAAGGGAATCATTAAGATCATAAACATAACAAAATATGGAACAAAGGATTCCTTATTCCATCAGACTGTATAATGAACAGCAATAAAGGAGAGTTCACAAGTCAATGATTGTCCACAAAAGAGGAATTTGGTTCAAAGCATACTGAAGTGGATGCTTACAAGGAGTTCTCTGAATAGGGTACGCAATTCGAGTTTTGTTTCCTTTTTGAAAAAAAATTATGGGTGTCGTGTTTTTCAAAGGGGGTCTCAAGCGCTAAGAAGCACGGACACTTCTAAGAAGGTGACGTATCCGTGTCGTGTCCGTGTCGGACACCGACACTCTTTGGACACTCTTAGGACACGGAACAGCAATAAAGGAGAGTTCACAAGTCAATGATTGTCCACAAAAGAGGAATTTGGTTCAAAGCATACTGAAGTGGATGCTTACAAGGAGTTCTCTGAATAGGTACGCAATTCGAGTTTTGCTTCCTTTTTGAAAAAAATTATGGGTGTCGTGTTTTTCAAAGGGGGTCTCAAGCGTATGGAGGTGTCAGCTAATTGCATGGTGTTGAGATATGGGGGTTAGATGCTCCTGAATGTAGAGCTCATTGTGTTATCCTCTCTCATGTAAGAGAGTGTTTGGAAAGACCCTGTTAGAACCTTTAGTGGATAATTAAGGAGGCTGTGACAGGTTCAATGGCAATGTTTAAATCTAGGATGGATTTGAGAAAAGCCTAAATGTATTTTCATGGCTTCGACTCTGTTTGGAGGGGGCTGTAAAAGCATCATATAGAAGTGTTGACTTTTTACTTGAAAGCGGTGGTAAGCAAAGTAGTCTCAAGTTCTCAAAATGCTATCACAGGAGGCACGCAATTTTTATTTGAACAAGGAGGCAAATCTAGGCTATTGTTTTGGTGAACGATGAATACGTCAATTCCAGATAGCTTAGTAAGAAATTGTGATCTACAACGCATGCAACAAATACTCCCTGCACACTACATAGGTGATAATAAAAATCAAAAATATATATATACATATAGATGACAATCAAACTTTGAATAAATTACCTCTAAAGGAGTTTCTCTTCTCTCCGCAGCAGCAACAAGTGTTTCAATATTTAAAGCAGAGCCAAACCCTGTACAAATAAATATAAACCAAAACATGCTCACAAAACTGGCACAAGTATCCAACCACACAAACGTGCACACATACAAATGACAGAAAATAAAAATCCATGCATATTAAGTAGAAACAGAAAATTACTTGCTGAGGTAATTGCTCGAGATGGACGAGCAAAACCAGTAGAGGAGGACAGTACAGATGAAGCACTCGATGCACTCTGTAACTGAATTTTAAGCAGGGAACAAAAAAAAAAAAATCAGAAACGAAATTTTGAACCCACAAAAAGGATACCACAAAAAGCAGAATTTACACTGAATACACTTGCAACTGAAAAGGAATCAAACTGCATGCCTTCTGATTGCCAGCTGCATCACTGGCAGGAATGAGTGAAGACTGCCCTGCAGTAGATGTAAGAGGCTTCACGTAGTTAGACGAAGTTCCAGAGGCCTTCTGACCATCATCCAAACGAACTTGATGTCTCTGTTGAAGTTGAATTGAAGAAGAAATTTGCGATCCAAGTTGCGTGCTAACAGATGCAATCAATGGGAATGATGAACCAGGCATCTGAGGACAAAGAAGTAACCATAAGATTGCATAAATCATTTGAATGGCCAGCTTCATAAAAACATCCACAAAATTAAGCCACAAAATATTATTGTGATGTCACTACTGAGGAATGTAAACATTATATATAAAACTGCATGACTTATACTGACTACTATCCTCGGCTTTCTGACCATCATCTAAACATTACATATAAAACTGCCTGAATTATTATCATTGTTGAAACTTATTTTCACATATAAGAAGATACGGCCAAATGATGTCTCTGAAATCAATGTCCCACAGACTGTAATGGTACACTATGTGCAAAGAAAGTCATACATTAGACAAGGGACCATAAAATGCTAAGATGACATCATCAAAATCCATGCACATTGTGGCATTCACAAGAAAGCAAATGTTAGTACACAAAGAAATATCAAATATCATCCAAATTTCGCTGAAACCTTATGTTGAGGTTCATCTAATATATTCTATATTTGATCATCATCTTTATGTTTCGTAGAATCTCTATCTCCCATTAACGTCAAGAGTTGTTTCTAAAAAACATTGCTATAATTTAAAAGCCAGGTCTTCAACTAACAAGTGACATCAAATTTGGATAAATAAAACGTACGGACGTAACATTTAGAATTACACAACTCACCTGCCTTCTTACATGTCCATAATGTGATTTGAAACCAAAATTCAATTCCACAAAATAGACGTCAGCTGAATGGTTCCAAATATGAAAAGATAAATTCTCAACAAAAATAACACAAAATACCAAAATACTAAGTTGGTTGTAGACATTACTCATTATAAGAGTTAGGATGTAAAGTGTCCTAATATGATATATATATATATATCAAATAATTCCAAACAAAAGGGATTGCCATACTAAAGACAGGAGAATTCTCTATTAAGGCAATAATGTGGTCAAACTCAAACCCCATAACATTCAAGCAATTGGGGAACTTTTCCATTTTAAAATCAAATGGTGTGAAATTATTATAAAAAAAAAAAAGAAATTAATGGCGTGCAAAGTTATCAATTTTCAAAAAATGAGGAAAAAAATATTTTTTATGAACGTATCCCCGCCGTATCCGTATCCTACTTTTTCGAATTTTGCCGTATCGCCGTGTCCGTATCGTGTCGTATCCGTATCCCGTATCCGTATCCGTGCTTCCTAGCTCAAACCAAATGGAATCACTCAATATCTTATTTTTAGAAACAAAATAGATGGCAGAGAAGATAAAGCAGGTGCAAGGCACAACATTTATTCCCAGGGCAACGTTATAACTCAAAGAATAAATGCCAGGAAAAACACAAAAATAAGGCTTTGTTAAACATGTACCAAACCACGACCACATATAAATCACCCTTATAATTGATTATTGAAATTAAAATACCAAAGAAAACCTCCAAACTCATAAAAAAGCGAGTAAGGAACAGTAATAAATAGCCGTTCAAGCAGGGTGTGCCACAATACCAAGTGCCCAAATCAGTAATCATATCCCATTTATACTTCATACAAGTGCAGAAAGAACATTTCACAAAACTTTTATTATTAATAATTTTCATGATATCTTCAATGTGAATCTGATTGATATATTTAACAGTATTTTATGAAGGAAAAAAAAAAAAAGCGAAGCATCGTGTTCATTTAGCAGTAAGTTGGATCAAGAAGAAAAAAGTTATGCACACCTCCATGTTTGTTTCAGTAGCCTGAATAGAACCATGCTGTTGATCAGCAGAAGTACCGTGTGCTCCATCTGACTCTGCATGACCTGCTGAAATCCTGGAAAGTGCCCGTTCAATGAATGCAACAAGCTCAGAATGAGTACCACGCAGATGAGATATTTGTAAGATATGATTGCAATACTGTGGCCACTCAATCAAACGGTCCACAAACTGTTCCAGAGCTTTGGTCCCAAACACAAACATCTGTGTGCAGAAAGGCCATCAGTAACATACCATAGTAAATAACAATAAATACGAGAAAACACAATAACTAGAGAATAATACACACTTTGGAATCTGCAGGTTTACGCAGTGAATCCAGAACACCTCGGAGGGCAATACCAAGGGTGAGATGAGTTACAAGCTGATGCTTGATGAGAGAACCTGGAATACAATTCAAAACCATTCCACAAATATAACATACATGTAAAAAATATATAAAATCAATTAAGAAAAAATGAAACCTCCAATTATGTGAGACGTCACAAAGAAACTACAGCAAGCAAAAGCAGCTAATTAGTCTGGTTTTAAAAAGGGGCTAGAAACCTAGAATGCAATCAATATAAAGCATTTATTTGCTGAAGAAACTGAAGATGCAATTTAAATATGACCATTAGAATCCCTAATGTCAAGATCCTTAAAGGAACAAATATGCCACTAATGAAACCAAAAAGTTTGAACTGAAAGCTTGCACGTCACACACACATGCTTTGTAAAAAGCATGAATGAACAACTAGGTCAAAAAATTGTTCCCCGAAAATTTCAGTATCTCTTAAGACCATCATGCTTCTGAGCACAGAAGTTATTATACTTGCAGTTCAAATACCCAGTTTCATGTGAGGCAAGATTTTATTTTAACCAAGTTTAAAATGGAACAACCCGATGATAATTGATGCATTATATGCCACGTATGATGTAGTGGTGTTTTTTTAGCATCAAATGAAGAGATCTTCAAAAGCTGTTTCTTTTTAGGTTTGATACATCTTCCCTAAGATGGAAGTCAGGACTGCCAGACAATGTAGGTGTGATTGCCTTGGCTACAATACCTATTCTTCTACTCCCTCTACTGCTTTACCCTCAATCAATCATTCTCTTAGCTGGCTGCTCAGCCATTGTTTTGGCTGCTGAGAATAATTCTACATCAAACCATGCATTAGTGAAGATAGAAAATGTAAAACATGAGGAAAAGATTTAACTCATTTGTCTGAGTCTTATAAATAATTGACAAGGAGAATGAAGTTTTTGAAGTTACAAGCAACAATAAAGGTGAGGAGGCCAAGATAATAGGTTTTGGATGAAAACCCGTTTGTTTGGTGGAAAACATTTTTGAATTTTTGAAAATTGTTTTTATACAAATTCAAATTAAATGAAAAACAATTGAATGTTTTCAAACTTTTCATTGCTTTTTTGTTTCCAAAACACAAAAAATGCAAATGAAAAACAAAAACATTAAAAATAAAAAGAATACCAGACAGATCCTTCAATTATTGGAAATTTTTCCTTTCCCTGGTTTTTTTGACTGACAAACAAGGCCTACTTGTACCTCACAACGAAATATGTGAACCAAGGCTGAGCCAAACAACACAACCTGAAAGCACTTCATATGATGTGAAAAACAAAAGTAACTTGACTGAGGATTAGATGATAGCAAAGATGAAGAATTGTGTGGAATATAAGCTAATAAGTAATATAACTTCAACAAATTCCATAACAGTAGAAATTTAACAAAAAATCAAACTATAATGATGCCATTAGGTTGGTGGACCATGTATCCAATAAAACCTCACCAAAGAGAACTGCGGCAATTTTGAGCTGCCTCTCAGGGTACTTGGGGAAAAATTTGTATTCTTCAAATAGATTGCCAATCATGCACTCAAAAATTGATTGTTCCCTGTCAATTCATATGATGTTTAAGCAAATCAACACCTATCAAACAAATCTGAATAATACCGTTGCATTTAAAGTTCAATGGCATCAGAGCATTTACGTTTCAAACAAGTATCTATCATAAAGGAGGATTCATGCACGTAGGATGTGGAAGACAACAGAACATGGATTGTTAACCAAGACTTGAAGAGTCAATCTTTCTTTCTCCCACTAAACAGTAAACAATAAAAGTGGGTCATCGAATGTCCCAGGAGATAAATCAATAAAATGATTGTTTCCACCACACCACCAGATGACTATGAAGCATGGACCCTCCAAAAATCAGTACCGTAGTGGTGTCCAACACAGGGACACGCCGGGGACAGGTACGGGACACACCTTCTAATTTATGATTTTTTTGTAGGGAACACGGCGGGGACACGTGTGTCCATATGGGGACACAGCATGGGGCACGGCGGGGCTCGGGGTTTTTTTTTTTTTTTTTTTTTTGCCTCTTATTTAGTGCTTTTGTAAAGAATATTGTTGGATGTTGAATGTTTTTCCATTCTCTTCTTAGTTCTTGCTATCGTTTATTATGACTTTTTTGTGAATGGATAATCTATTGATTTGTTTAAATGTAGTGGTTATATTTATTGAATTAATGTTACTATGTTAGTGTTTGTTAATTTTGATTTAGGATGAATGTAATATGAATCTACATAACACATAAAAATATATAAAAATAAATAAAATAAAATTCGCCGTGTCCCCCACCGTGTCTGTGTCCCCATTTTTTGGAAATTGCTGTGTCCCGTGTCCGTGTCTGTGTCCGTGCTTCATGGCTAGATGAAGAATGAATATATTATACAGCAAGAGGGGTTGTCAACTGGAGCAACAGCAAGTTCCTCTCCCTAGTGCCAAGGCACAGGTTCAAGTCACAGGAATCAACCTCTCCACAAAAAGGTGGAGCGAGGCTACCAACCTACTACCTCTCCCAAGCTCAGCTGTAAGTGAGACCCTCGTGCAATGGATACAACCTTCCTAATATTATACTGTAAGGCTATGTTTGGTTTGGAAATGAGGAGGCAGTATATGACTAATTTATCCCTGGATAAAATTATCGGCATTTGGCAAAATTTTGTGGTCTAATACAACTTATCCCGGGGTTAGAATTTGTCACAAAATCAGGATAACTCATTCTTGGATAACTTATACTCTGCAATATCCCCCATTAACGAACCAAACATAGCCTTAGGGTGCTTTGGACATTTCCTTTAATAAAATAGGAAATGTACAAACTTATACCTACCACCAAAATGAAAAATAAATATCATACTGTATTGGTGCTACGATTGTCCCCTTAAATTTGAATGGCCCCACAGCACTTTTATGCCCATTTTAGTTGACAATTACATAAAATAAAAGGTATTCTAGCATATTTCTCCATATGATCATTTTTGGGTTTTACTGAGAAGACAAAAGTTGAAAATTTTAATACCAAAATAGGGACAAGACTGCCTTTCCAACTCTGCCCAAAATGACAGATTTCTTACTCAAGTAAAATGCCAAGAGGACTGTTCAAAAATCAACACATGCCATAAAAATTTAAACGTATGATCTAAGTCACCTAATCTGTTGCACAGTGGTGTTGGGCGCACCAGCTCAGGGATTGCTGAGTTGGGCGCCAAATCAGGTCACATCTGCGGATTTAGCAGATCAAACTCACGGAATATTCATCTTAGCAAGTCTCACTTAAAAAATGAATAATTTTGCGCTGAAGATTTAAACCTGGACCAGGAAACACGGAACCAAAGCACTAACAGCTAGACACATCATACATGCAACATTCACAGTAGATTTACAGAAAAAATTCATATGTTCGTTAAAAAGAACTTAGAGAATTACACATTTATAAATTATTTAAATATATATATACACATTCTAGAGCAGCTCTCATACTAAAGATATTTTTAAGAAGGCTACTCCCCCGCACCTGCTCTTGCTTCCCAAATCGGTGTCTTAGGTACGATACTACCATCAAAAAATGAGACCAATGGAAATGAAGTTTGATGTAAATCAACATATCCAGTTAACAGAAATCCTTTAATACCATATGCTTTTGATGTCATAGGATGAAAACAAGATCAAGACCATTGTTCAGTAGAACTGGAAAAAAAATAGAAACTAAAAGGGAGCAGGCCTGGGCCATCAAAATTGGAAATGTTACGCACAAAGAAAATATTGCAAAAAACATGAAAATATTGCAAAAGTGATGGTCCTAAAGACAATAGCTCCAGTAAAAAAATCCACCTTTTCTCAGGAGATTCCTTGAATCGAGCAAGCATTTGAATCATCGCATCAATAGTTAGTTGACCAGAAAACATCTGATGGAAGTAAGAATTTGCTTCTGTCTCAATGTCTTCCGCATATCCATCAGAGGGTGATGAATCATTAGCCCCAGAATTCTTCATTCTTGAAGTAGAATGCATGAATGTTACATTCACCTTCTCCAATTCCTCAGAAAGCTGGCTAGAGCTAATCAAGCCCGTATGATATTGAAGAACCTGGAAAAATATATAGATTACAAGGTTCAATGACACTGGAAAGAAATTTTCATAATGACCAACTAGAATGACCAAATTGCAGAAGCAAAAACCTTCAAGACAGTAGGACTTGTCTCCAAATAGAGGTTCCAAATGCGACCAGAATGGTTGAAATGTTCAGCAGAAACGTCCTGAGATACGCCAAACTGAATCTCCTTTAGGAATTTAAGGCACTCCTGGAAGCAAATAGCATGGATATCAGCCGAATTTTACTATTGTTTCTTCAAATTTCAAGAAGAGTAATAATGATAGTCATGAATGGTGATCAAAATAAACTTGCAGCATGAGTTCTTAGTGAACTCTGCTCATAATTTCTGATGGAAGAGAAGTGTAGGAAGGGGGGAGCAGAAACATCTCTCATTACCACAAAGTAAATATCTTTGTAAGTACTCAAATTAGAACTCAGCCACATCTCCAGGTCTATAAGTTCTTTTTGGGAAGCAAGGGCAGCCAATCTAATACCAAAACATGAAGGAACCATGTCCAATACCGGTGAGAGTATCTGCATAACAAAAGAGATATGAGTACAAATAGAGAATGAACAATCAAAAATAGAAATTATAAAAAATTACACAGAAGTGTTGATCTAAACCCATAGCTTCCCAAAGAATGAATGATAAATGCACAAAAAGGATCCAAAACAACAATGGCACGACTATATTTTCTTTGAGAAGACAACCAAAGGTTTGATGCAACATGCACAATCTTACTGCAGTGTGACACACGCGCGCGCGCGCGCGCACACACACACACACACACAGAGGGTTAATGCATCGCACAAACTCAGAGCATAGCCCTTCTTCAAACATAAATAAAGACCTTTATCTTAGTTTTAAATTGAGCAGCTGAAACAACACAATCTTGTAAATAAGTTTCCCCTCTAGTAAGCAAATACTAAGACTATCATACTCATATAACGTTATTTATGTAGTATTATAGTTGTGTAAACATAATTTAAGTGGTAAGATCCTCCCAACAAACACACACACACACACGGATAGCAACAAGGTAAAACAATTGAAACTGCTTCAGATAATACAGATGATAGATAATCAGCAGTAAGTAAAACAGGGCATCTTCAAGTTAACCATGGTTAAACCACAAATCAATAATAGCCAAACGAATAACGCATTGACCCAACTAATTGGGGTCAGCAATACATGTTACATTTTGTCAATCAACAACATTTCTTCCACACACACACAGCAACAAAAGCAAAACAAAACAAAACAAAACAAAAAGAAGAATAAGAAAAGAGAACAATAATTTTAGGGACGAAAAAATAAATCAGTTTGTTTTGTTTTGCTTGAGTTTTCTAAATTCACTTTTCAGAAAAAAGAAACTTTTTGTTTTCCGTATTTTTTTGTTTTCACTGAATTTTTTTTAATATTTTAAGAAATTTTTTTAATTTTTAAATACACCTAACATAAATACACTTAAAAGGTATAATATTTGTGAAAAAAATCTATAAAAAATTCACTAAATACCAAAAAAAAAAACGCAAATTCAGTACATTTTTCATATTCTTGCGTATTTATTAATTTTTTAAAATATTTTTTTACAAATATTTTACTTTTTAGACACATCTAAGGTGCATCTAAAAAAGTAAAAAAAATTACTTAAAATTTTAAAAATATTCACTAAAAACAAAAAAACACGAAAAACAAAAAACTCAATTTCTAGATAATTGAAACCAAACATAGGGAATGTAGCATCTACCTTTAACTCCTGGCAAATGTCCAAAACTCTACTCATATTTTCTGGATCAATGTTGTGGGCATCTAAAAATCCCCGCAGCAAAAGATTGGGGTTAACATGCCAGAGATGAAGAATTATGCCACTCCTCATACTATCTTTAAGAATCATGGGGAATACAGTAGAAGAAACTTCATACTGGAGAAGGTTGTACGCAGTCTGTAATTAAATTAGCAAGGTTAACCAACCCAAAAGAATACTGACCAAAACAAATAGGCAAACATCAAAGGACAAGTATATCTACAGTACATTAATGTGGGCCATCCCAAGAAGCAAAACTTCAGGGCAGTGCTCAAGAGGATGCTTAAGCATTGATCGAACAGAACTTGCATGACCTCTCTCAGCTAGCTGACACAACACCTCCAAAAGGTCAAGACATAACCATGCATGATTTGCATGTCCAAGTTGAAATTTATGACCATGCACAGCATCAACATATGCCTGCAAAGAGTAATTCAGCTATATTTAGATCACCCAGAGCCAGTATGAGGTCATTAAGAAAAACTAGATGTTAGCAGCATCATACCAGCTGCCTTCCAGAATGTGCAAACGTAAACACTTCAGGTGGTACTGAAACAGCATACTTAAGAAAAGATAGCTGGCCTTCTGTATTCTTCCAAACAGACCCACAGATGGCATGAAGTGGGAATGGATCCTGCAGTGTCAGTTCTAATGATTTATTACCAGCAAGAATTTTACTCTGTCAAATCACATAAAGATCCGACAAAAGCAGTCTGCATGTAATGTAGTGAAGTCATGCAGGGAACCAACCTGGCATGCACTTCTATAAACCGACATGAAAAAGAAAAATGCTGCCTCATTGGGGAAGTAGAATCCCTCATGATCTAGGTTTTCCACAACACTTATCCAGTTGGTTCCAGGAGCCTGCAGTTCAACATTTAAAATTAGAAACAAGAAATGCACAGCAAATATGGCTATACAAAAATAGATAAATCAAGATTCAAAAAGTGATTATGTAAATAGAACCCACAAGCTGCTTGATTGAATCGATAAGGACATCAATATTCCAGGAACTCAATAATGGCAGATCAGATGAACTGCCACTGCCAAGAGCAGAATAGAAAGTTGAAAATGCATTTTGATTGTCCTCAAGCCCAGCATGTGTGCGAGCAATTGTGCCAAATATCCTAGAGACAGTGATTTCAGCCAGCGGTAAGAAAAGAGATAGCATCTCTATGCACTGTGAGACATTAACAGTGCATCCATAACCCAATTCCTTTATTATATCGGCCATGCTCATCTCCTTCTCCATTTCTGCTAGAACAGCGTCAAAATCATCTTCATTGCTTTCATCGAACAAATCGAAGTTCCTAGAGCACACAAGGCAAGCAAAATGATGATCTAGTTATTTTAAACAAGACATACGAATTAACAGAACAAGCATGAACTAATAGCAAAGCTGTTTCTAAAGAAAACACAAAAAATTATGTATAATTACTACCTCAAGAAGGTTGCCTCACGCAATTCATCTAGAAGGAATGGAGCTAAAATAAATCGGTCACCCTTGTTCAATTGCACTAAAGATAACATTTGCATGAATGAATCAACATGCTTGGAGAGGCCCTCAGATCGATGAAGAAACATAAAAATATTCTGAATTTGTTCAGCAGAATCAACACATGCATGACTGGCAAATAATTCCCCAATCTGAGCCATGCAAAAGTTCTTCCCTGCAAACCAATGGACAATAAAACAAATGCACAAAAAACTTAACAAGGAAAAAAAAAAGAAAGAACCAAAATAATAGTAAAATGGATTACATGTCAATTAACTTTTTCTTTACTTTTCTTTTAATGGAAGGTTGACTGTTGGAACTTACCACACATACTGATGTCCAGATTTTCTGAATCCGACAAAGCAAGACCAATTCCAATTTTCTCAGTTGCTGATAAGTTTAAAGCATTTGAGAGACTTTCAAGAAAATCTTCATTAATCACAGTACTTCTCAGGGACTCAGAGAGCACTGTACTGAAATTTGGTTTATCCAATATATATTTGAAAATTGAACCAAATATTGGTTCCAGTTGCATATTCTTCAAGTCTCTCCCATAAATATTTAAGTGATCCAAACAGGTTTGGAGAAGCAACATGCTTCCCTCAGTTCCATATCCAATATACTGTCAAGGAAAACATAAAATCAGTAAAGTATATACATGTGCAAAATGGAATCAACTCAACTTAGTACAACAAATCCTTATCTCAATGGATTAGCTGGCTTCAGTGGTTCTTTTCGATCTTTTTTTTCAAGAAACAGAAGAAAAAAAAAATGTATTCAAGAAAAAAGTACAAGAAAGGACAAGGAAAAAAAAAACCGAGAAAAAATTCATCACAAAACAAAAACTAAATGAATTTGTAAATAATCAAAATAATAGATAATAAAGATTTTTAAGTTGCCTGTCAACCTGACACAATTTCTCCTCCTTCCAAAGTGTGGGATCATGTAAAAGATAGAGACTCTTAACCGGGCATAGACACAGCAAATAGTCAACACACATAAGTATGTACATGGATGGGTATAGATAATTGGTACATTTCTCATTACACAACTCCTCTCTACCCTACCAACAATAAAAAAAAAAAGCAATGCTATACGACAAATCAATGAATACATCTGCTAACTCCAACTCTCAATCTCAAACATCCATAAAAGGATCAAGGGATTCCAAACCACCACCAAGAAGTTCCAACCACCCTGCTTCAGGCAAAAAAAAATCTCGTGTAAACATAGTTATTAAAATCGTGATCTGCATTGAAGGATAGTGCGATCCTGCGATCCAAAAATTAAAATTGATCTAGATCGCATTAAAAACCATAGCAGAGGTAGGATCGTATCATGACCGTTAGGATCATAAGACCAAGTCATAGAACCGTACGACTCTAATCTCTAAACTTTATAAATTTCCCCGGTCTTTCCAATTTGTTACATCTTCTAGCTCAAATAAGAATAACAATTAAACCTCAAAACTAAGTAAATGTCGTGAATCAATCAACAAATTTTGGTTTAAGTTTATATTTTACAACAAAATCCTACATAGTTAAGAAGGTAATGAGAAAAAAAACTATACTTTAAGTTGGCTGAATAACAAAAACAGCAAGGGCTAATTTTAAACCTGGTAACAATTAGTTTTGAATTTAAGAAGAGAACAAAAATGCATTTCCTTATGACTAGTCAAATTTAAAACTAGAGAAATTAAACCACCACAAATTATTTTCTGGTATTAAATACTTGATTATAATTGCAAACGTTGCAATGAAAAGTCTAAAGAGCAAAAATACTTCTGAAAAGAAGCAATGTCCATTATATCACTCCTTCTTGGACACTAGCGGAACGTAACACATCTCAGAGACTGGACAAACACTTATTTAACACTCCCAAGGCAAATGATTGGAAAACCTCATACACAAGGGACAAGGCTATCTAATTAGAATAGACAAATATACTCCATCCGACCCAACTTGAACGTCTTGCTTGTTTTCCCACTTTTGGCTATCCCAAAATAAATGTTCACTATGGAAACACAAAGCAATCATCTTTTCACTTTCCTATATTACCTGTACAATATAATTTATTACAAGTGCCATAAACAAAACAATTATCTTTCCCAAATTTTGTTGAAGCCAGTTTAGAAAAGGTGGTACCAAAAATATAATGGTCACGTTTAGTAATACTTACAACAGTTGATTTTAGCTCCAAAAAAAATCAAAAACTAAACTCTAAAAAGTTAAATTTGTTTAGCTTAATTTTGAAAATTTGAAGCTAAAAAAGCAAATAAGCTAAAAACCTAAAAAGTGGAACCAAATAATTTCAAAGTACAACTGCTTAAGCAAGTGACTTCAGATTTTAAACTAAATGAGTTGCAAATAAGTATAATCAAACAGGGCTAAAATATCCTTGCACTTATCGTGCTTTCTTATGCCGTGTATTCTCGAACATAACACTAAATTTGGGGCATAGGGAGTAATTAATGGATGAATTTAATGATCTAATGAACTATCAGCCAATGTTTGAACATGTAAGATTGCAGGAAGGTAAATCAAATACTCATGTCAATTAGTTTAGAGGGATTTGTTTGCTAACACTACTGCATTTTAATTTCATATTTGTAGCTGACTTTATTTTCCATACAACTCAAACACCAAAAGACTTCCCCACAACTAAATTCCCTTTCCCTTTGATAAAATAAGCACAACAATTTAGTTGTTATACATCTTCCAGCACTTCTTAGACTGCTTCACAGCATGTTCATGATCATTCCCATGCCCAAAATAATTTGACCGAATTCACACTTTAAGAGTCACTTTACAATTGGTATTTGGCTCAAACAATCAAATCTTAAACCAGTAAGAAATATAATGCAAAACGCAGCTCTTATTTCCCATTATTTCTTCCTTTCTTTTTGTACCATCCATGAAACCCACAACAACAACAGTAGCAATGAATAGTTTCAAATAGGGGTGTTCACCTCCGATTCACCAAAAAAACCCAAACTGAACCATTCAACCCGATCATACTGTGGGCAGTTTCGACCACGTATTTGGACGGCTGCAGTTCCTTTTCTACAATTTCTTCGATTTTTCGGCCGAACATCGGATTAAATAAAAAAATACTCAAATAACCCAAACCAACCGACTTAATTATATATATATAGTCCGTTATTTCTGCCCAAGTAAAAGTAAATTCATTTCTCCCCAAGTAAAAATAAATTCATTTCTCCCAAGACACGTTTGATTTTTCTATGCACATACACCTTTAATTGTTGTTGATGTAGTCAAATCGACTTTTCATTTTCCCAAGACTTCCCTTTCCAATAATCTGATGCAACCTTTCATGTCTATCTCTCTCTTTAAATTTTACCTTCCCAACACAAAAACCTTTCCATCTTCTATCTTATTCTCTTTCATCCCACTTTCCCATATCTCTCTCTCTCTCTCAAACCTCTCTTAACCTTTCGTATCTCTAAATTTTCCCACCCCAAGACAAACAAATATCTGACCTCACCCTTCTACCTGTTATTTTCTTCGCTTTCTTCCACTCCCTCATCTCATCTCTCTGTCTCTTAAACCTTTAGCCTCTCTCTCACCCACACTCATCTCCATCTACCTTTTCTCTCAACCCTTTCGTCTCCCTCGCACCCACCCCCCTTCTCTCTGTCTCTAACTAGCTCCCTCTCTCGCTCACAATTTGCACCTCAGCTCTCTCTACGAGAGTGGTGACAGTGTGAGATCATGGCAGAGGTGATGGCTTGAGATCGACTACGCTGAGACTGCGGCGTTGATAGTGTTGTTGTTAAGATCTGTTTTTGCTTATTCCTTATCTCTTGAAACCCTCCTCCTCCCTCTCTTGCCTAGAAACCCTTTCTTCTTACTCACACCCTTTACTTTGAGATAGTAGAACTTCATTACAGCACCGACCGAAGTTTTTACCACCTGCAACGAATGGTTTCAATGCAGTTTCGACGCAGTTTTCGGTCGACATCGGATGAAAAGTTTGCCAAACCGAAGGTGTCAGTTCGGATGTCGGTGACTGTCAAAACTGATTCAATCCGATCCAACCTGTCGCGTCTCGTGTACAGCCCTAGTTTCAAACCTAAACAAATTGAATCAAGTGCATCGTGGCATGCTCGTGATCATTCCCATGTAACCTTTAGTTCCCAAAATAATTGAACTGAATTCACACTTTGCAGTCATCTTACAGTTGTTAGTAGGATCAAACAATCAAATATTAAACCAATAGGAAATATATCACAAAAACCCAGCTCTTCTTTCTCATTCTTTCTTTCTTTCTTTCTTTCTTTCTTTTTGTCCCATCCATAAAACCCACAACAAAAACAACAACAACAGCAATAGAAATGAAAAGTTCCAAACCTAAACAAACTAAATCAAAGTGAAATTCAAGTAACCCACAAGCAACCTAGGTCAAAAAATACAGAATCGATGGGTTTCTACAAAAATAAACGACAATAATAGCAATTAAAATTGAATCAAGTGAAATTCGACTAACCCACAAGCAATCTAGGTTGAAAATTGATAGAATCGAGTCACACACATACATATTATATTATATTATAGAAATACCTGACAGAGTTCTTCAAAGATAGAATCAGAGTTGGATTCGTTCAAGGACTGAAGAAGATAGCGAATCTGGCCCGAGAGGGCCGAATAGAAAGGAAGCATAGCGAGTGAGACGAGTAAATGCTAGGGTTTTTCAGAGAAAGGAGTGTGGAGAGAGAGAGAGGATCTGAGAATAAAGCAAAGATTCAGTGACTTTCGGGGGATTGATAGCGGACCCAAGAAGAAGCAAGATCGAAGAGAGAGAGAGACGTGGGGTCAAGGTTTCCGATCGGGGAGGCTGGGTTTATGGATTTGGGAGCGTATCGTTGCGTGCGTGCGATGATGGTCAATGGATACAAACTTGAAATGAGAGAAGAGAAAGAGAAAGAAAAAGAGAGACAGAGAGACTTGTCTTTTATCTTTCTCTTGCAGACTTGTATTTAACGTTTTTTTTTTTTTTTTTCTTTTGTTTTTTAGGCTATGTTTGGCGAGTTTTTTTTTTTAATATTTTAAAAAAAACAATTTAAAGAATTAACTCGATTTTTAAATTATTTAGAAAACTAATCACTATGCTTGGTTACTATTTTTCTAAAATATTTTTAAAAAAATTCTACTTTTTTATTTTTTGTATTTTTTTATTTTTACTGAATTTTTTTAATATTTTGAGCAATTTTTTTAATTTTTAGACATACCTAACATAAATATACCTAAAAAGTAAAAAAAATTGAAAAAAACCTTTTAAAAATTCACTAAATACCAAAAATACAAAAAAATATGAGAATTCAGTACATTTTTTGTATTTTTATGTATTTATTAATTTTTAAAAATACTTTTTCACAAATTTTTTACTTTTTAGATACATCTAAGTAAGGTGCATCTAAAAAGGTAAAAAAAATATTTAAAATTTTAAAAATATTCACTAAAAACAAAAAAAAAACGAAAACCAAAAAACTCAATTTTCAAAAAATTTAATTCAAAAAACTCAAACCAAACATAGTGAATTATTTTTTGAAATTGTATTTTGAAAATATAATTTTAAATTGAAAAATATATTTATTTAAATCATTCCAAACAATCCATTCACCATTATATTTTTTTAGACAAATTCAATAAAATAAAAGAGTTACAAATGTAAAATAGACTTTATTTTATTTTATTTTTTTGAACGATATACAAGTCAGTAATGATAAAATGAAACGTTCGAATAATCAAAACTAGATTTGATGGATCCCACATGCCTAAATAGTACCATTCAATTCATATTTTGAATAAGAGAGAAGCTCAACCCATAAATTAAGGCCAAGTTTGGGAAAACTAAATAAGTGTACTTTTTGACTTTTTATGAAATATGGATTGGATTTAGGTTGGGTTTGAAGTGATGTATTAGAGAAGTGATGTGACTTAAATAAGATGATGTGACTTAAATAGGATAGTGACTTTTTGACTTTTTGAATTTTTTGAAGGATGTCAAACTTGGCCTAAATACCAAATTAGGGATGTTGACATATGTCCAACCCATAAATTAAATAGCTCAAACTTCATTTTACTTCATCTAGTTTGAGTTATGTGCGATTTATCTCTTAATATTTGAAAATAATCACATAATCCCCTTATGGTCTGTGGATTAAAGCGCACCACTAGGTCCTTTAATGATTTAATGAAAAAGACTAAAATATCTTTGTATTTTCATCATTTGTTTGGAATGCAAACTGCACTTTAACCTACTGTGCTTCATTCCATGTGCGATTTAACCCCTGTATTATATTCCATGTGCGATTTGCCCCATTGAAATTTGAAAATTAATATATAACTCCCTTATATCTGTCACGTGTTTTTACACTTACTCTTAAGTTAAATGGAATATTCAATGGTGAACTTCAATCCACAAACTACGGAGAGGTTATGTAATCATTTATAAATATTATGGGATAAACCACACATGACATGACCCAACTCACGGGGATAAGATGAAGTTTGTCCAATTAAATATTACAAATAGGGGTGTTGACATATGGGGTTTGTAAGAGTGAGTAACTTAATAACTGAATATGTTTTTATGCTTTTTTTTTTTTTTGAGAACAAGAAAAACATTATATTAATAAAACAATAATAATACATAAACAAGACCTCAAAGGGTCATCCAAACCAAACACAAAACAAACAACAAAATTTTTTTTTATCAAAAAAACAGTTACGATCTAGGGAAAACAATCGATCTGCTTAAAGATAAGGTTTGAAAAGTAAGATCTGCTTGAAAGCCCGCCGTTTTCGTTGATGTCGTCCCCGTTGCTGCTACCCAACTCTGCCGCTGTCATCGCCGGAGATAGAAATATGTTGGACAATCTTCACTGTATTTAAAAGATTAATTATGTTTGTGTACTTAACAACAAACAGAATACAAAAGAAATAAAGGAAAGGAGAGAAAAATGTTTGATTACAAAAATCAAACTAGAAATAGAATTAAATAAATAAAAACATATTTTATTTTGTTATCAAAACAAAATTAAAATCTGATTTAAATAAATAATAATAAAACAGAAAATAAATAAATAACTTACTTAATTAATATCTTGAATATTATTCTAATCAAATCCAGTGTTTGACACTGTGTCCTTAAGACAGATTCGTCCTCTCCACGGTGCTTTCAGAATGTGGACGTCTATCTCCTAAGATGAAATGATCAACTACAAACAATAGCAGCACTACAAATTGTTTGCCTTACGAACACACTAAGTGTTTACACTCTTTTTTACAAGAAAATAATGTAACAAAATGAAGAATAAATTTACAGAGCTCTTAAGGACGAAAATTATGAATCTCAACATCAAATGAGGGCTGTCCTATTTATAGATGGATTGGTGGCTGCAGGTTTTGAATTAAATAGGTGCAAACCTGTTTGAACAGATATGAAACCTGTTTGGTTTTGAATTTAAACAGATTTGAATCTGTTGGGTTCACAATTCAAACAGATAAAAAACGGGAGGGGCTTTGTTTGGGTGTACAGTAAAACCGGACCAGTTTATTTTCGGAATTAATTTGAATTCTAGATTTTATTTTACCAAAAAATAAAATAAAATTCAAATGTTTTTTTACCCAAAAAGATAGATATTGGGCCGAACAAGCCCAACCTAACCACGCACCACGCACCCGCGCCCAAGTCCAGCCCAGCCCAGCCCGCCCGACCGGACGGACGGACGGCGGCGCGTGCACGCGCGTATGTGGTGATTTTTGGGTCAAATGGGTCTAGCCCATAACCTCCCTCTCTAAAACACTTGGATACCCCTTAGGGCACACCCCAAGTTCCAATCTCATGCCTTATAAACTCATTCAAAACTTCCCACCAAATCAATATGGGACAAGCCTTATTTAAACCTTCAAGGATTTTTTACCAAAACTCCATTTCCATGGAGCATACTTTGGCTTCAATTTTCTATTCACCCGGTAATGGTTTTGAGCAACCAAATATACCACGTGAATCACAACGCGGCATAGAACGCGTTACCACTTTGATCCACGAAAATCGACGCGCGGGCCCCATCTAAATATTAGACCAAAGTTAGGAAAAAATATGTTTTTTTACCCAGATTTTCCAAACCATTTTCCAACAATCCTCCACATGAATGGAATTTGATGACAACGGAAATACAACAACATGCAGACTTTATCGAAAGAGTATAAGTCGAAAATATCTTACATCAGGATAGGTAGCTTTCGGCCTTGAACTTTCCCTAGTGATAACCTATTGGACTTACTAGCTAACCACTGGACGCGATGCCTTGAATCGTTCAGCCATTTGTGTAAGCCAAGACAATAGATTTCACACAAAATATCTTTTAACACATCGTGGTTCTTACTGTTGTGTTTATTTTGGCCTTGAACGCTCATGGTTTTCATGAGTGTTTCTAGAGAATTTAGCCTTTTTCATTTTCATAGAACCAGCCCCAGTTCGACACTCATATAGGTGATTCTTATTGTGAGTATATCTTTATACTCGTCTTGATTTTATGCCTCAATCAAGATATAAGTAATCATTAAAAGCAAAGTTTATCCTTATACCCCTGCATACAACAAATATTGCAGATATCACTCTTACTATAGAAATGGGTAAGGAATTTTAATCCCTTGGTGATTTCTGGCGAGTCATACATAACTTAGTTGTCCCTTTGAACTTAGTTCTTGGGATCTCCAGTCATATAAGTAGGGTTACCATTATGACGACTCTTATGTAATAGGCTTTAATCTCATCATCTTCGATGAACTATACACTAGCTCTTTTGTCAAACCTTTTGTTAACGGATCCGCAATATTCTCTTTAGATTTTATATAATCTATTGAGATTATTCCATTTGACAACAATTGCCTAACGGTATTATGTCGACGGCGAATATGTCGTGACTTACCGTTATACATATGATTATGTACCCTGCCTATTGCAGATTGACTATCACAATGAATGCAAATAGCTCGCACAGGTTTTGGCCACATTGAAATATCTTCTGAGAAGTGACGAAGCCATTCTGATTCTTCTCCTGCTTTGTCTAAAGCAATGAACTCAGATTCCATTGTGGATTGTGCGATGTAAGTTTGTTTTGTGGATTTCCAAGAAACAGCAACGCCTCTCAGAGTAAAGACATATCCACTAGTGGATTTTGAATCTTTAGTATCCGATATCCAATTGGCATCACAATAACCTTCAAGTACTACTGGATATCGAGTAAAGTTCAAACCATGATCGCGAGTAAATCTTAGATATCTAAGAACTTGAATGATCGCTTTCCAATGGTCTTCTCCGGGGTTACTAGTGTACCTACTCAATTTACTAATAGCATAAGCTATATCAGGACGAGTACAATTCATTAGGTACATTAGACTTCCAATGATTTGGGAGTATTTTAACTGAAACACCGCATCACCTTTATTTTTTGATAAATAAAGATTGACATCTACAAGTGTTCTAGCTAAATTCATATCATCCTTGATAAATTTACCAAGAATTTTCTCAATATAATATGATTGAGATAATGCATATCCGTCAGATATTTTAGTAATTTTCATTCATAATAAAACATCTGCGACCCTCATATCTTTCATATCAAATCTTTTATTAAGCATTTGCTTAGTTGATTTGATCATGTTTTGACTGCTTCCAATGATAAGCATGCCATCCACATAAAGACAAACTATGACATATCCTTGGTCAGTGTTTTTAACATAGACGCATTTGTCACATTCGTTTATCTTAAACCCATTAGTAAGCATTGCATGATCAAATTTTTAATGCCATTGCTTAGGTGCTTGTTTTAATCCATAAAGGGATTTTACAAACTGACAAACTTTCTTTTCTGGTCTCGACACTACAAACCCTTCGGGTTGCTCTATATAGATCTCTTCATTTAGATCA